TTTTGAACTTTCTGATTTTTATCCCTAAGTCACATCTTTCTCTTTCTATAAGGAGCAAATGGCTTCCACTATTCTATCCTCAAGCCAACTAAGATAGAAATCTTTTAAATAGAATTTAAGCCCTAGAGGGAAGCAAAAGTATTAAAAGCAAATCAAAGGAAAGCTTTTTTTCTTTTCTTTTTTAACCCACACATTGAACACATCCCCACACCTATGGGGTTTTCTTCCTAAGCAGACATTTCTTGCAGTGTCTGTCTCTAGCGTGTCTGTCTCCCTTTGCCTGCCTGGGACCATATCAGAAAGTATTGTGTCCAAATTTCAGCAGCCCCCTGGCTTCTAAATCAGGGGCATGCTCTTCTCTTTTTTAAAAAATATTTGAGCATTACCTTCTTGGAGAAATAATTTATATTTTCAATTTCATACAAGTTTTGAAAGTGAGTGATATAAAGTGTTCACTGATTCGATTATTGGCTCCAGTCATGCAGTCATGCGTTTAAAGTCAGTGAGAAAAGTACTGATAGTATGTTCCTGAGTGTGGCACTATTTGGGAAGACAAATCAGTCTGTTGCTTTGCTCAGTGACCTACTGGCAACGTAATCCTGCCGTGCGCTTTCTTTGGTTTGCTGCCAACCTGCCCCCAGGGGAGCGCCACGGCAGAAAAGTCATGGTGCAGCGAGGGGCCCTCCCAATACCAAGTTTTCTTAGTCTTCGCTATGGTTACTGTCCTAGCCAGCTGGGGCTGCTATAACAAAATACCGTAGACTGGGCGGCCTAAACAACACACATTCGTTTATCCCAGTTCTGGAGGCTGGAAGTTGAGATCGAGGGACCGGCAGTGTCTGTTGAGGCCTTTTTCCTAGTTCACAGATGGTCACCTTCTTACTGTGTTCTTATAGGCAGGAAGGGAAAACTTGGTCCCTTCATCTCATGACAAGGACACTAGTCCTATCATGGGGGCTTCACCCTCCAACCTCATCTAAACCTAATCACCTCCCAAAATCCCCACCTCCAAACACCATCATGTTGGAGATTAGGGCCTTGATGTGACTCTTGGGCAGGTGCTAGCAGTCAGTCCATAGTGTTATCCATAAAACATCTCAAAGCTCTCTATTACCTGCTTAATCTGTAGCTTCATGAACTTTAAATACATGTGTAATATTCTAAATTCCTATAATCAAGAGAATGAATAAGAGGAACTTTAAAGCTAAAAATATATTCTGTTATTTTTTTCCTATTTAACAACATAGGAATGACTTAAACAAGATATCATTTGAACATTTAAAAATCAAGAGTTGCTAGAAATGTGGCAAATTTTATTTGTTGGAATGTAACAAATGAAAATCAAAAATGTGCGCAAAATTGAGGAGCGTTTATTTAACTATCAAGTGTGAAGAGTGCACTATGAGAAGAAAGGGATATTGTCACTGAAAATTTACCCCAAGCTGGAGTAAAACTTCTTACAATCACAAGTGCCTTTCTCCTTTCTCTTTTGCACTCCCTTCATCTCAGCATGATATTTAAATTTAAACCTGATATATTGAGATATATAAACACACAGTTATATGTTGATGTGTAAGTGGGTGTGTGTGTATGTCGGATGGCTTGGCAATAATGCAGATAATATAATCAAAAATACTCTGCTGGCATTGCCCCTGTTGGTTTTTTGGAAATACTTTGACCCCTTGGTTGTGCCCTGTCTTTATTACATAGAAACTTCTCTCTCCTGACTTGATATTATTTTCATATTTCAAGCTCTTAAGGAATTTTGATAATATGCCCTCAAGGTATAGTCCAAAGTAAGCAGTTTGCATCAGGCTTATTAATTTAGTCTTGTGTTCTTAGGTCCAAATAGCTGAATGATTAGTATTCTGACCATGGTAAAGATTTAGCCACTGCTTGCCTTCAGTCCATGGGTCTGTTTTGTAGAAATTTTACGATAGATACATTGTGTTTACGTTTATAAATGACATTTCCTTTTTAGTAAAACAGTGGCATAGCCTGTGATTTCTCGTGGCTCCTCGCTCTAGAAGAATGTTAGCAGTAAAAGTTTCCATGTGCAGAGCTGTTTCATGACTTTAGACCGATCCTGATGTCACCATCACCCTATAGTCTTGTTATGTTGATTATCTAGGCAACATAACATCAAATGTTAGCACAGCTCTTAAAACTTCTGTTCTTTTTATGAGTGATGAAAATAAATTTCTTAATGGGTAATTGATACTTATTTCCCTATTAATTCAAAAGTTTGAATAAAGTACCCAGATAAAGGCCAGATACACTGACTGATTTGAAACAGTTTTTTTTCTTCAGTATTGACAGGCAGGGGTGCCACCAACATTATGAAATAGAGAATCGCCTTGAACTCCATCTCTACCTGCCATCAAAGATTATCCATATCATACCAGTTTTCCTTTTATTGTCTTCAGATTCTCTATGTCACCATAAAGAAAGGATTATAATCACGCCTGGCCAGCATGGATCAGTGGTTGAGCATCGACCCATGAACCAGGAGGTCAGGGTTTGATCGCTGGTCAGGGCACATGCCCAGGTTTCGAGTTCGATCCCCAGTAGGGGGCGTGCAGGTGGCAGCCGATGGATGACTCTCTCATCGTTGATGTTTCTATCTCTATCTCCCTCTCCCTTCCTCTCTCTGAAATCAATAAAAAAATATATTTTTTTTAAAAAGAAAAGATTGTAATAAAAGGTATCTAAGAGCTGCATAGATCGCATGTCAGAGCAGAAGGATTTGTTTGCTGATTTAGCCGTTTATCCTGTTTTATTGCACAGAAGTTAGGAAAGGAGAACAAGATGGAACCCAGCAAACGACCCAGCTGCCTTTTGCTCTTAGTACAGTTCGGCTTTCACATGTAATGAGCGTGCAAATACTGAATACCTTTCGCCACCGCTGTGTTAGCTCTTCCATGAGAGGGAAATTTCATCCATGCTGAGTTCTGAATTTCATAGTCTGGTTTGTCTCAGTATTATTAAATCTTTGTATGAAAATGAGACCTTAAAAGATAGAAGGAGATGACAAAATAAAAAATAAACCCAAGTAAAATAATTTTCCTATTGCATGGGCAGATAGATTGAGTACCCCAAGCTGGTGTCCTCCGAGAAGTCAGTATCACCCCGGCTGCATCATTGATGTCAGCAAGCCTACAGAACGACAGTGCTCTTTGCCTCGCACTGTCTTTCTATCCAGTGGAGTGGGCCCGTCTCAAATAATGGACCAGGTGCAATGTGACAAAGCTGGTTCACTTTCAGTTTTTTAAAAATGTATTTAAAAGACGTGCTGTTTTCATTGATAGGCTGTACACAGATGCAGAGTCATCTTTGAATGGTTTAGAAGTCACTTTGGTTGGGAAAAAAAAACAACACAAGAAGATTCCCACATTGAGTGTTCTTGTTAGAAAGTTGAAATTGAGTGACACTCTCATTGAAAATGACCTCTAATGGGATGTCCAACAGCCATCTGTGGGATGTCACTCATCTCTGAGACTTAGCCTTGACTTAAACTAAACTGTGTCATAAGTGAGAAAAAGAAAGCTTGACTTTTCAGGGTTGGGTTTTTTGGTGTTTTTTTGGAAAGTAAATGATGAAATTCTTGAAATTATTTGTGACAGTGAAATAACTTCACACTCTCTCTATCAACACTTCCATTTTTATGTTACAAGGATATGAAGTAAGCCTATATTTTCTTCCAGTAAAATTTTCAGAACTTACACAGATTCTGAAATATAGTCGTGGTTTTGTAGTCATACATACATGTATATATACACACATGCACATATATATGTACATGAAATACCTGTGAGAAAGCTTAGTATATAACATTCAGACTACCTTTATTTTAAGAAACCCTTAATAAACACAAATAAAGCAGTTAAAGAAATTAGTACTTTCACCCTAAAAGTAAGGTAATTTTGTTTTTCTGTGATCCTCCTCAAAAGCGAATCCAGGACTATTTTTTCTATGTGTACAGTTTGCTTCATTTCTCCCCTCATATACTCATTGCCTTTATTTTTCACAAAAGACAAAGGCTATGTATGAGCAAATATCAGAATCAATTTACAGTTTTTAGCATTTTTAGTAAAAGTAATAGAACAGAAAATTTGAAATGTAAAAAAATGAAAAACATAAACAGTTTATTAATAAGTTTTTATCATCATTACGTGTTTTTTATGATGTATTTTATGTGCTATAAAGCACAAACCCCATGGCAGTTTGTATCCTGCTTTGTTCAGTTCACTTTTATTATAATCATTGCCCAAGTTGCTACAAGGTCTTCAAAACGATTCTTTTTAATGGATGGCCTACTGATACTCCTTTGGCAATAAGCCATAAATTCTAAATTATTTGTGATTAATTTTCATTTATACATTCTTCTGCTATTAGATTCAATCCAAAGCAAACTTAACTGCCAGAACTGCTGTAAGATCTAGTGTGCCTATACTATGTCAGTGCACCTAATAAACCACAGCAGTTTTCTCATAGTTCATGCTGTCATTTGAAGCCCATAGATAGAATGATAGTGCTCAAAATCAAACAAACGTGTTTTACAAGTTATGCAGGAATTTATCAGAGTTCACACTTATGCAAAGGAAGCAAAGGCATTTGATTGTTGTGACTATGTTATGTCAATAGCATGCTAACTATAAAATACGCCTCCTTGATGTTTAGCCTCCCTGCCCAATCAAAGTCAACCCATCTCTTCTCCTTCCTTCCTATAGCAATGACCTAGAATTGTTCTCAGGAGGCTTATCCATCCTATTGCCAGTTATGTCCATGCTCCAACCCCCTCCACTCTCCAGCGTAAGCTCCCAGTGGGCAGGATTGGCTCTCCCGTTTTTGGAAGGCTATTGTATTACCCTACATGCAGGACATACTCACCAGACGTTGTGACACCCTGCTTTTGTTATCATCGGTAACATTTGCAGAGGGCAGTATTGGGAAGTGTAATGATGTTACAGATGTTTACTCTCTCATTTTTCTTCCTCCAGTGGGATGGAGTAGGACCTCTTCCAGACTGTGCAGAACCACCAAAAGGGATCCAGATGCTGTGGCACCCATCAATAGTCAAACCCTACCTCACACTGCTCTCTGAGTGCTCAAATGCAGACACGCTGGAAGGGGCAGCAGGCGCCCTACAGAACTTGGCTGCAGGGAGCTGGAAGGTATGACTAGTTCGTTACCATAAAAAAGAAGTCTGGGATTATAAGCACGACCTTAGAAAGTCACAGAAGTCCAGTTTTGAGAAATGTAGTTCTAATGATGTTTTTGAGGATGTCAAAAGACCAGTTACATTGAACTGTTGGACTTAGGAAAGGTATTCCTTTGAAAAATTCTTCTTCAGGGCTCAGAGGTCCTTGAAGATCAGTACAAAACACAGATGGATAGATGTAATTGTAGTCATTGAAAATGCTGAGAGATGCTTTCCATTCTACTTGTGTAGCTGAGTTACTTTGTTTTCAGAGGAGATTGTGACATGCCGATGCTCTTCGAAGCACTGTTGTTGACTGTTAAGGGAGCTAATACCCAAACGTCCTGTATAAAGACCCATTGAATTGTTATAATGTTGTAGGTGGTCCTGTTCCCAGAAGAAAAGGACCTCTTGAATTTTTAAATTACTGGCTTACAGAGAAGAGTATTATTGCTAGTTATCTTTGGCAAAAATGTTAAAGTAAAATATATGATTGGGAATATTAGAATCCTTATAAACACACACCATCCCTGATTGGTTTTCATGGAAAATTTCCATGACCCTCATTTTGGGTAGAAAGGGATTCACCATAGCAAAGAATTCTTGAGTTTGATCACTAATCATACGTGAGCTAACATGCCTTATTGCATAAAAAAGTGTAACCTCTTAGATGAATGAGCACATATGAAGGAAAATATCAAGAGAGGAAGTATAGATGTCTGCCATCCATTTTCCATTAATTTAATATTAAAGCCTGGGTTTGGAATATGAGAAATCACTCCTTCTTTTAATATGTTCTTTAAATCAGTGTTAATATAGGCACATACTACAGATAATTCTCAGAAGCTCAATACCATAGACACCACACGTGCTAGCCTCAGCCTTGTCTTGCAGCCACACCCTCTCTTCTTCTTATACTTTCCAACATCTGCCTTCTTGTCACCCCTCTCTCTCTTTCTCTCTCTCTTTCTCTCTCTCTCTCTTTGTCTGTGTGTATGTGTGTGTGTGTGTGTGTGTGTGTGTGATCCTTTGTTTCCATTGCTACAGTCTCGGCAGTAGCACTGCCTTCTTTCTCAGGTAAGACATCCCAACTTTTGGGGCCTAGTCCCTGACAATATTTCCCAGGATCTGGCTATTGATGCCTGGGCAGGCCCACCCTTTTTGAGAGTCTTAGGAATGAACATATTATCCTTTCTTCCCCTGCTCATAGGCATCCCTAATGTTGTACTAAAAGAATTCAGGCTGGGCCAGGGGAAGTGCAGTTGTCAGATGAAGTTGTTGCTTGCTTTCAACCATACAAAAGTTTCAAAAGCAGAGTCATACCAGGCAGAATTCTAGAGAATAGTCTTGTATGAATAGGAAAGAGATAATGGAAATAATTTCCTTGAACTGACCCTTAGATCTTATCTCCCTCTAAATTTAGGAGGCTTTGACTCAAATTACAATTCAAACCTAGACTCTACCTCTTTGGAGCTTTGTGGCCCTGGGCAAATTATGGCAGCTCATTATGTTCTCATGTGTGTCATCTTTAAACAGAGAAGACTGTGGCTGCTTCACATCACATCATGTAAGCCAATCAGGACACTGGATGCAAAGATGAGAGCAGGATATCATTGGCCAAGTGGTTGTCAGTCTACATAGACAAGAGCACTTAGTTGCTGCAAGTCCCCACCCAGCTCCCCTGAGTTGGAGGACTGACCAGATGGGCATGGGAAAGTAGGCTCTGGCCTGAGGGCATCAATCTGACCTGAAACACAACTCCATCTAGATGGTAGCAAATCAAGTATGCCATCTTGAACTATGATGTTTTAGTGAATTATTTTCTCTAAGAAATGCTTGGGTTCTTAAAACAATTTAAAATGGAGACATATCTTTGAGGTCTAGAGGATTTTAAGTGTAAGACTACAACCTCTGCTTTGAAAGTTAAATTCTGTATTTCACATATTCAAAAAGTTAATTGGAACCATGGAAACATATTAAAGATGCAAATAAAACTGCTAAAGTTACTGTACAATGTTTGGAACAAAAAATACATGGAAATGGGAATTAACAGCATATTAGACAATGCAGAAGAAAAGATTAGTGAACTGGAAAACAGCAGTGGTAACTATACAAAATGAAACACAGAGAAAAAAGAAAAAAAAAATGTACAGTGGCCTGTTGTATGTGTAATTGCTGTCCCCAAATGAAGGGAGAGATAAAGGAAGAAGAAAGCAGAAAAAAATTATTTGAAAAATTAATGGTTGAAAATTTTTCAAATTTAATGAAAAACATCAACTCACAAATTCAAGCCACTTAAGTGACCCCAAGCACAAGAAATATCAAGAAACTGTATCAAGGTATATCATAATCAGATTACTCAAAATCAGTAGTAAAGAGAAAATCTTAAAAGCAGCCAGAGACAAAAAGACATGTTATGTACTAAGAACTGCACCACATGTAAACTCCAAAATTAAGGATCAGTGTCACCAATTATTCGTTTATAAATAGCAGTCTCTGCTGACCTACTAAGAATGTCCTGTAGAAAGGAATGTGGCCTGTAAACCCTTTAAGGACAGAATCCAAGTCCCATTTATCTCTTTGTATCCCACTGCTCAGCCCTGTGATAGAAAGGAGTTATGGGAAAGTTATAACCTTTTCCATTCCCAAACTCATCTGTGCTTTGCAGCTGTAGATTTTGATAGCATTTCCCAACCCCATAGTTCCCAAAGGGTTGAACTTTCTATTTAAATGATCAGGCTCTCTATCTCAGAGGTAACCAGGTCAGCTGGGAGAGCTGCGGAGGTATGCCTGGGTCGATAGGTGTTTGGAATAAGAAAATGCTGAGATTAAAAATTTTATACCATTTTGATATTCAAAAATTCTCTTCTACTTTGGATTATAAAATAAGAATTATGGATGAAGTATGATACAAATTTTCAATATTTCCTGGCAGTAACTATCTTGCTGACTGTGTTTAGTGCATAAACCTGCCCATTAGTTCAGCACAGTTATCCCCAGTGTGAAATTTATCCCCACATATTGAGAAGACATTTATTTGGTAATTTTTTCTATTACTCATAGAGTAGAGACTAATAATGAGGCAAAAGGGTCTGGGGCAGATGAAGTCAACACCACAAAAATTATTCTGCATTTTCAACAGAGTTTAACAACTATGACCATCAGATTTCCCAGTCCACATCAGATTTCAAGCAGCAGATTAAAAAATGCAAGGAGTGCCTCTTCTAAACAGGCATACTGATCTGCCGTAAAAAGAGAGTAAATACTCTGATGGCAAAGAGAAAAGACAGAAGAATTAGAAAAGGTAACTACAAGGATGCAAGAGAGAGAAACTGTCAGAGGCCGTTCAGTGTCTTGGCCGTTGTATATACCCTAATAACTGATAATCAAGAAAATGCTTAATTATTACTAATAATTTTAAAAGAAAGCATTTTAAAAAGATTTACTTCCCAATGACTGAAGTAAAACTTTGACTCTCAGAATGTCAACCTTACTTATGAGAAGCATTTGCCTTCCTAATTCTGTAACTTTAGACAAATGGGATGGTCCTCAGGCAGAGCAAGGGACTGCTAAGGAATATTTGTGTGTAGTTAAAAATATATATACTTGCATAAGAGCTTTCTTATCAAAATGTAAATGCACAGCATGCATAAAAGCTGATCACATTTATTCATTTACCACATTAAATAGCAAGGGAGTACATGGGAAAAGATGATAATCCATAGGGGTGATTTGGGAAAATAGTCATAAGCCAAACACTGATAAACTGTTAGAATGTTTAGAAGACTGAGAACAACCTGTACAAAAAATAAATTCTTACTTTTAAAAAAGATTCAATTTAATAAAAAAATCTTGATTAAGTAAAAGATTAATTTAGGATACACAATAGCATCAAGTTTCATATGTGTTACTATCTGAAATGTATAGTTCCAAGAATGTGATTTTATAGCAACTGTTGAAATTTAGTGACTTTTTTTAGTGTCCTTAACTTTTTATGACCCAAACAAAAGCAGAAATGTGAAGGTAAAACACCAGAATTTTGCATAGAGATGGCTTTTTATAGACCTCATCATCTGAAACAATAATTACTCTTTATAGGGAGATCGTGCACACTCTTTTTATGTGACAAATTCACTAGCAAACTAGATCTTCCTAATGACCTAAATGCTTTTTAAACTTTAAAACCCTCATTACTTGGTTTATGAGCATCAGGAAAACATAATAGCAGTATGGCAGAAGCAAAGTGATAAATGTCTTCATAGCCAACATGGAATTCAGTTACCTTTTCCTCATTTACAGTACAGTGACATTTTTGTCACAGAATAATAAAACAAGTGGATATAGTAGGATAAAGATTTCCAAAAATGTGACCTAATGTACTTTGAACTCCCACTTATGCATTATTTCTACTGTAATTGAACTTTGTGAAAACTCAGGATTTCAACTATAGAAGTACATCTGTAGTTGCTGTTAAACCGAACAGTTTAGACATCTCTGTTTAGTCAACTTTCCCCCTAAAATGTGACAGTTCTCAAGACTGTATTATCTTGTTATTTACTTTTAAAATAAGATAGACTAAATAGATACTTGGCTATTAACCTGTTAATATTTAATGAGCTAACATGATAGCAACATAGATGTAATGAAGAGGAAACAGAATCTTCTGCCACGTGGCCCAAATGAATAAAAAATAAGAGAATGAGAAATTTGAGACTTTTCCCTAGGCAAGGTCAACAGCCTTGAGAAAGACACTGAATTTAGCATCAGTTAGTGTATCATACAAGTGAACCAGGGCAAATTAGTGGAGTGCAACATCATGGTTTGCCATCTAAGACAAAGAGAATTGGCTTTGTCCTAGTTAATGGTATGATATAAAGTATAAAGTTTAAATGAAAAGAAACAAAATTTTGAAAGATTGTAATGAAAATGGGGCATGAAGCATGATGCCTAATGGGTTAGAAATTGGGCCAGAAT